CTTGGTAGGTAAGCATAGTAAAACGGAAACGATAAAAATTAAGGGTGAAGAAGAAAAAAGTAGGTCTAGAAAAAAAAATTGGTGATGACTTATACTTTGATTTGAAAGAGGAATTTTTCACAAACCATAAAATCTACTTTTACTCCAGAATCCAAAAATAAACATTATTTGGTCTAAATTAGTATTACAAGTATCATCATTTGATTTCAAGCAACAGTGTTATACCATCGATTTTATAGATAGAATCAAACACCAAGGTAATTGTCAGCTTATATAATCGAAACGTTTACTTGACAACAGCCATCGAAATATCATGCAAACGACACAGAGAAAAAAGAAGAAACATCCATAAAAAAGAAAATAATCAAAATATCAAAGTCAACCATAGAAGAAAACACAAACAACTGCGTGGTCAACCTAACAAAACAACCACTAACAAACGTAGAAGAACACCTACTCCGAAAGGGACTAAACTACATTACAAGCGACGCCTCAAAACTAGAATTCTTCGCAGCACTAGAGTCATCACCGAAAACTTCCGGAATAAGTGAGGAACAAGAAATAAGACAATCTATAGAACCACTAACTCAACAGATGAAGGGCAACAACCAAATGACTTCACAAGCACAAACAGCTTTAAAGAAGCTCAGAACTAGAAAAGATATTTTCCAGCGGACAAAGGGTGCACCACAGTCATTATGGACAAAGAAGAATAGATCAAGAAAGCCGAGGAACTACTCGAGGACAAAAGCACATACAAACTGGTGGACATAAATCCAGTCAAATGGCTAGACAATCGTATTTCAAAAACTTTAAACAAGCTAATCAAAGCAGGAGAAATAACAAAGCAAGATCAAGGGAGAATGAAATCCGATGGACCAGTAATCCCTCGATTCTACGGCAGACCGAAAATACACAAACCAAACATCCCATTACGTCTAATTGTAGCACTACCAGGAACACCGAAGTACCATTTGTCAGAAGAAATCTTTAGAATACTGAAACATTTAGTGGATTCGTCGAACCACTCCATCAAATCCGCCACACAATATCTTGATCAGATTAAGAACATTCAAATCAACGACGACGAGCTGATGACATCGTTCGACGTAAAGGCGCTATTCATTTCAATTGAACCAAGCTTAGCAAAAGAAACTCTGTCCTTGCCTCTAACCAACGACGGAAATCTCGCGAAATACACGAAGCTTCAAAGTCGGAGCCTACTTGAAATGATATATTTATGTCTAACAACAAATTTCCAATTCAACAACAAAATCTACGAACAAACAAAAGGAACACCGATGGGATCACCAATATCAGGACTCGTCACAGAAGAAGTAATGCAGAAACTAGAAACCACGATTCTAACAGTGATCAAACCAAAAATTCGGATTCGTTAAGTAGACGACACATTCGTCATCGACAAAAAGGATGAACTAGAAAAGACCTACAGGCAGAGCGACAACGTCTTCAGCGACACCAAGTTCACCATGGAACAAGAGTCGAACAACATGCTATCATTCTTAGATATATTAATCACCAGAACCGACACAGGTAAATTGAAGACTCTGGTGTACCGGAAGCCGACTTACACTGATCAAATTCTCAACTACAATAGCAACAACCGAAGAGCTAGCAAAGTCAAATGCCTACAAACTTTGCTCAAGAGGACGAGGAGACACTGCAACACAATTACAGCACGAAAAAATGAAGAAAAGTACCTAAAAACCATCCTCCAAAAGAACAGCTATCCAATCAATTTCATCAAAAAAAACCCAGCCACACCCATTATCAGAAACGAAGTCAAGTACAGAAATCAACAAAAAGACAACCTTACCATACTTAAAAGGTATATCGGAAACGACAACGAGACTGCTGAATACCTTTGGAATAGGTGTTTCCCACAAACCAACAAAATACCTTCATTCAATCTTATGCAAACCAAAGGATAAAATGACAAAAGAAGTCAATCCAAACATCATCTACAAAATAAATTGTGCCAACTGCGACAAACACTGCATCGGACAAAGTGGACGCCCTCTTCATATTCGCCTGCATGAACATCAGTTAACAGTCAAACTCCATGACGAGTCTTCACTCAGATCAATGCATATGGACAACTGCGGACACACATTCGACTGGAAAAATGTGGAGATTTTCGAAATAGGCAATTCCAAAAGCACCAGAGAATTTTTAGAAGCTTGACACTCAGGTCAATCAGCAATAAACAAGCACATTGAAATCAATCCAATTTATCAACCAATCAGGAAAATTATGCAGAGACATATGAACAAAAATCAAACCAATGGGGAGATACAACCAAAACAAAGAAATAAATAATGACAGATTTAAGGTCAACAAGAACCAATCAACATCGAGGTGCACAAGACAAACTGTGAACCACATGTGGAGAAATTAAAACACTTCACTTCTATCCGAAGTTTGCGCTGATGATGTCGTTCAGAAGGACGATGAAAGCTTCACGACCAAACCATCCAGCTCAGAGAACGAAACTCCATCAAAATCACCCACCTGAGTTATAAATTTTCTTCACCATCTCAATATAATATAACATATGAAGAAGCTCTACATTTATTATTAACGTCAGTGGATATTCAGTAATTTTGTGTACTTGAACTTGTATTCACGACATGTTTTATTTAATAATAATCGTAGTTTTATCCAGTAAGGTATATTTGATTATCGTTGAAGATTCTTATAAATATTTTAAGAATTCCCTGTCCGATAGCCACTTACCTGGTGAATATCTTAAAATATTATTATCTGTCCTTCACATTCGTCTGAAGGCGTTAATAGCTTTTCTATACTCTTGACAAATTATTTTGTCATAATTATATTTGAAAAACATTTCTATTACTTTACTTCTCATCTTGAAATATGAAACTAATCTATCATCCACTATAATGCTTTCACGTAGATTTGACAATGTTTTTCCTTACAATAAGTTATTACCCTTTTTATGAAACTTTATGAATACTTCTGATGATTAACATGCATAAAAAGTTAGTTAAAACTACTCTAAAATACAAAGTGAAAGCTATGATATTTGAAAAGTTCAAAAATAGATGAATAATAAACCAGCAAACTGAAAAAAAGTCACTCACTAGCATGAACGCAAATACAATCATGCATTAATAGATCGAAAATGAATAAGCTTTGCCTCTGATACATCCCTAAGTTAAATTAATGTTAGCGAGTCCATGTTTTATTGAGGTGAACTAATAATATACCCGTAGAAGTTATTTTAAAAAAAGGTTTGTTGATAAAGCAGTGAATGTTTAATTAAACAGCTTCGTTTTGATCAGCTGTTTAAACCTCTAGTGTAATGTATTAATAATTGGTTTCTTGACATTTCATTGACGTAAACTGCAAATAATGTTTAAAGTCATGTTTCGGTATTGTGGTTTTTCCTTATCGGTTTTCTCTTCTGCGCAGTGATGTCAAATGCTATTTCAAGCCAAACATTTCTATTTGCACGTTTTCGGCAGCTTTCGAAAAATGTCTACTTTATCATGGCCTTTTATTCGAAATGCATTTCACTCACTAGTTTGCATAAACTATACTTCGTCATCATTTTCCATTAAATGTGTTGGTAATCAAGTTGACTGGAAAATTAATGTCAGGTTATCGATCATTAAGTACTAACAACAACTTTGATCCAATTTAAAGTGGTTCAAATTATATCGTTGTTAATATTTATAACTGAGATTTGACCACTTTTGACTGTCATATGTGCATTCTGTTTGGATTTCCTCGATATAGATATTATGACAAAAGCTGACATAAAATTACTGGAGTATGATTACCACTGGAATCGAGGACGAGCATTTTGTCCTATTTGAGACTCGTTAGCTAGACATACATGCATATCAGCGCTGACATCCTTTCTAGGACTCAAGCTCAGTACTGTTTGCTTCAAACATCATCGCGTTATCCATTAGCACATATCATAATCAAGACTGATCAAATTTCAGTAAAAACATCAACAACGGGATGATCGAAACCAGTTCAAACTGAATTAAATCTCATACTGGTTGCACTGGTGAGTGATTATCTCGACTCAGAAGCTAAGGTGTTTGTAACAAACGGTACTGGATTTGAAACTCGGAAAGGACATTAACTCTGGCATGAAGGTAGATCTAGTTGATGTGTCCCGGTTAAAACGAAACACACATCCTGGATTCCACTTTTAGCTTCATTCTATCTACACTACATCAAGTTACAAGAACGTCCACTTTTGACGTTTCCTAACATCTTATTCAAGCAGTACCACGACATACAAATTAATCTTACTTGTCAATTTATGTAGTTTACTGATGACACTGTAATATATAATAAACAGATTTTCACGCCCAATGTATTATAGAAACTGACAGGATGTGAAAATCATTGTGGTTGAGAATGAAATGAAAGTCATTTTAGAAATCCGGTGTTTAGTTAGTTTGACAGTTTTCTTGATAGAACAATTAACTTAATTCTAATTCGTGGGTATTTTTGGATTACTAAAAATTGTCTCAATCCATTACTCGTCATAGGTGAGTGAACATTTATTTTGTGTATCTCATGATGTACATATCTAGATGTAACTAAAGTTCACCGTAACTCAATAATCATCGAACATTTCATATAGGTAGCGAAGAAAAGTAAATGTGAAATGAAATACCTATTCAAAGTGATAATCAATATATGTTAAGTTTAGTAACACAAATATAGTCAAATGTTTTCTTGGTACATATTTTAATTAAAATAATGAACTCTACTTTTTAAATCATGTGGCAATCTCAAGTTTCTTTTAATGCGTATGTTTACATTCATGATTGGACAAAGTTTATTTGTGCGCTTAAGTAAAAAAAAGAAAAATACCATCGATGGAAATGCTATCACTATTTTACTCAGTGAATGATCTACGTATCATTGTAATAAAGGTGAGGAATGGTTTGAGAAAACCTAAATGAAACTATATTCATGAATAAATTTACCGTCCTATGCATGTACGGAGCTCCATTTCATTTCCTGAACACTTTCCTAAATAGATGCTTTCATTACCAAGTAAGCGGCACTCTCTGGCACGACTTTTCCAACCATGGTCTTCATAAAATGCAGCTGAACATTCTGACCACGGGCTCCAAGGAAACCTGAAGTATGATAATAAATACGAATTAGTATATGGTTCGATGAATTTGACTGACTTCAAGACCTGGATTCGTTTTCTGTAGCCTCAATAAATCCATCAGGAACTACTTTCATTATTGATGATATTGGTCAAAATCAGTGAAATGTTTCAACTGTTTTCGTTCTAAGCTCTAAACATATACATTATTTGGTATTTATAATTATTAGATTCATTAGATCATATTTCTTTACTTACCCTAAGACGTGAACCCTATTTAGATAGTAAGTTATCTCAGTTATTATTTTAATGATTTGAAACGTAGTTAATTGAAATACACTATCACAAATAAAGTGAGATATTTTTCTTTTAATATTATGACAGTATTAATTTGAATGGAATTAATAGACTCAATCATGTTTCGCATCAATTATTTTTAAAAAAGATTGAAATTAATCTCTTGCGTCATATGACCCTAATTTCTTATGATATGTATTCTTTTTAACTATTGTTGTTCATACATACCATTGTCTAATTCCAGGTTCTGTACAATATTTGCCACCCCAACCATATTCACATAGACATAAAAACTGTTTACCATCCCCACTGGATACGCACATTCCTTTATTTTGACATAATATCTGTAAAAAAACAAATAAATGGTATTATTGAGACCAAGTTATTTGTTTTAACGAAGTTCTCCGTGTTATATGTAAAACGTTGCTTCGTTTTATAAATTTGTGTTTCAGAGCTAAACTGTAGGTCAACAAAGTTCTTGATGTTGGTTTTTTCTCTGAGCTGGATGGTTTGGTCATGGAGCTTTCATCGTCCTTCTGAACGACATCATCAGCACAAACTTCGGGTAGAAGTGAAGTGTTTGAATTTCTCCACATGTGATTCACAGCTTGTCCTCTGCAACAAAGTTCGGAATTCTTACTGAACGTTGACAAAGTAATCGTTACCGGCTAACTTCAGATGCTTTCACTGTATGTTTAAAATGTTGTTGGAATGAGTAATAAAATAATTATCTTCTAATCAAGTACTTTAAAATTCGATATATATATATATATATATATATATATACTGCTCAGAAAATGAAGATAATTATTGGCCAATAACATGTACTTTTCCTTTCAGAGACTTTTGGTTGACATGACGTGGCCCTTCTCATCCGGCAACTTTTGGTTAACCTACTGTATAACTAACTATTCCAAATAGATCTAATGCTTTGTTTAGCGATCAATATTTATTAACCATTTACAAAAGGCTTGATATAGTCATTTCCTCTTCGTTACTTTAAGATAACAAACCGGTTTATCAACATCGTGAAATGGAATAAATTTAGAAATCTTCCATATGTATCAAGCAGGCTGAGGTTGTGTTGATCATTTTTATCTAACTTATTTCCAAATATTCTACAAAAGACTATTCTACTCGTGGTACAATTCCGAATTACACATAAGTTTCTTATTAGCCCAAACTTGTGACAATATAATTAATCAGATATTCGAATATTTTACTGGTCACAAGTAAATCCACATGAATATTGAATTAAGACAGGTGTGAAATAATACATCTCTATATTGCTTTTTGGTAAAGACTATGCAAATAATAATTTTACGTCAGTTTACGATAGTTCTAATTGCCATCTTGGTAAAATAATTAGATGTTTTCTGTTCAGAACAATTTAAATAATATGGGAAGCTGAGTTATTTATCTTGATACAAACATCGACAAAATGAGTTTCTGATCAAGAGTTTTAGATAACTTTTTAACAAATGAAGGTCCAAAACAAAACAATTAATTACCAAGTGATTCAAAATTAAAGTATATACCACTCAGAAAAATAAAAAAACTAGGTTTAGTTACCAGAACACTGAACTCACCAGGTAGTTTATAATTTAAATTCTAAATATTAATCAAATATTTATTCTTAAGTACATTAAATACACTTTTCATAATTTAACTAACGCTTTATAAATAATAATAATAATAATAATAATAAAAAGTATTTCGCCTCATTTCTGAAAACAATAATGAAACATTTTAAACGTTAACAAATAACGCTACAAGGAAGACGTGACTGGTCAGACTTTATAATCACACAATGAGACAGGCGGACAAGTAAACGAGATACAAAATATAATGAGCAAAAATATTATGGCAAAACGAGATTTTTAAAAATAACACAAAATAATTTTTACAATGTTGAATAATATAAATTGAATATAAATGAATTTTATCAACTTGGGTAATAATTTTAAATCAAATATGTATTCCTTAAAAAAATAATGTTGACTAAACGGCTGTGCAAGAATGGTAATAATCTTCAGTGCATACTTATAGTCTTGCTAGTGTTTAGATACGTAACCTTCAGGTTTTGTGACAGTCATACTAATTTTAAACCACAGAGCCGTAATCTATTGGTTAACATCGGCAACTTCGTCTGATTCGCGATGCTTGAGTATGACGAAAACTAAATTTAACTTAAACCAACATCCACAGATCATTAATCGGTTCATTAATTGCTTTGCTTCATTACTTTAGATAGGAAAAATTTCATCTTGACTTCTTAATATCACTCAATAGTCTAAAGGTTGGGTATCAGCGGATGAAACTAAAGGTCCTAAGTTTGAGTCCCGCATACGGAATCGTGAATGAGCACTTCTGAGGAGTCTGATACTAGATTAAAACTATCTTCTAGTGCTCCCAGGTTTTCAGCGGTAGTTTTACATTAATAGATTCATGATTTAAATAAAATTCAACAATTCTCACTGAGAATATTTTAATTTTTGTCTGCTATTTAGAAAAACATGTTATTGTATGAATTTCGTTTCATCTTAGGTTGGAGTTATTACAGTCAGCTTTTATAAAAAATGCACAATAAATTAAGATATTACCATAATTTAATAGAAAACAACTTACACTGTCACATATATTTTTTCTCTCATAACAATTGTAGAAAGAATATTTTTGTGAATATTTATAATTCCCAACACAAGTACATGTATAGTGATTGGTACCGTTTATTGGATTACATTTATTTCCCAAATATGTACGACACGCTTCATTTCCTGGTACACGATTAGGTAAGTTATTCTAAATCAAAAAATTGAATGGGCTTTTTAAGGCGAAACTGTACTATAATATTGTGAAGCGTATTTAAAGTAGGTTTAAAAGTCTAACAAAGAGATGATTCACTTACCATGAATACCGGTGAAATTAAAACCGCACGAATCCGAAAACCAATATACAACTAATACCGTTATAAATAAAATCAAACGGAAACTGTTAAAAATGTTCCTTTTTTAGTAGTCAAAATATATAAAATAGATAAAGTAAGTTGCATTTGTTTGTTGCATTATTTCCTGTGCCATTCATCTACATTACACAAGTTATTTTACTGCTTGGAAAATAAATATACAATTATTATAATATAAGCTAAAACAATAATCGGTTTTTAAAATTAGCAAACACTTTCGTCAGGTGTTTTTGGAAATATATTATCCCATCTTTCTCATCAAAACACTAAAACAGTTAAGATTAACATTATTCTGTACAACTGATTACGGATTACGCAACCAACCAATTGTATCTGGTTGCTACACACATATTTGTATGCTTAATTATTTCTAGTTATTGATATAATGTTAATATGCAAATTCTTCCGCACAAAGTTGATTCCGCTTCAATACTATGTACAGTAAAACAAGCAAAATTAATTCAATATTCATCACCTGTCTCCTTCAATTATATATATATTTTTTGATGTACATGCAAAATCATGTATATTGCAAGGGGAAAAAGATGGGCTTCTACTAGCTTTAATGACAGTACTTCCGAAAATTTACTCCATCATGGAGAAAACTTTGTACGTAGTTGATAAGGATACCACCCATTAGATACGGGGCACAACATTGATTTAATGAATCGGTTCAAAGTTATAAATATACAGTCCAGTTTTACGATTCCAAAACCCATTGAAGAGATAGTAGTCAGAAAGCTTAACCCTAACATTTTTATTCAAGGAAAGTCAGTAGTGAACCTTCAAGTGCCTTGGTAAAATTTTGACCTCTTTTGATCAGATGATTGTAAGCAGAGTTTAGTGAGTTGAACCTGTACATCCTCTTCTCTTTCTAAATTTTCAAAGTTTTTTCATATAACACAGTAAAGTCACTGGCTTTCTCAAAACTATAAATACACCTTGCTGATGAGTATAGACTGGAATATAATCTTGGTATGAATCTTCTTAACGAGTGCCCTCAACTTTTTAAAATTGACGAAAATAATGTCTAAATAAAGCTAGGATTGCTCTAGATTTATTGAATTAATTTCAGTATTTTATTTTTAAGCACTAAATGGGTTTTATGGTTTCAGTCATATACAGGTAAACATAACATTTGTAAATGAATAAGTATATATATATATATATATATATATATATATGTTCGATTGGTAGATTATCTTATGGACAATAGGTAAACACTAATATGATAGAATTTGTTAGCAGGTTAGCTATAATTAATAACTAGCGTTCAACTAAACGGAAATATAATGAGTATATAGTGAGTTAATCTAACACTTAGGAGTACACACCTTTAGATACTCATACTTGATGACATAAAGCGATTCATGACTTAAATGTTATCTGCTTCTGAAATATCTGGAGCCCATCAGTCAGTGTCAGTCAATAAGAGTCATCATCTGGTCAAAATTATTTGTTAAACTCTTCGGAACTTCATATATACGACCCTGTCAAAAGTAATGGAACCCACAATTTTCAGTCTCGCGCACAATGCCTGAATTCTATACTGCTAAGCTAAAATTCAGTGGTGTTCATTTTGGAGTTTATCAATTTGCGATACTGCGCAACTATCGTCCATTATCATTTATATTTATTTTTACTATTAATTTCATAGTATAGTTTAACGTATAAGCCTGTTCAAATTCATATGAAATTTTTATCATTTAAACTTCAATAATTTTAATGATTGTTACCAACAATCCTTAATTGGTATGCTATCATTGTCAACAATATATTTGTCTTAAACTTCCTTATTCTTTGGAATTATTAATTTAGCTGAATTATTGTAGAATCTGATAACAGTTTATTGAAAATAATATTCTTCGTTTAGTGCATGAAAATTTAAGGTTTATTGTCCGACCTAATGCAGGACATAATTACAGTAAAAATGAAACTCAGTAAACTTTTTCATTCATTCCGTTTTACAAATAACTTTTTTCTTTTCAAAATGAAATAAATAAAATTCTGGTTCTTTTGTTTATTTCTGTGTGTTTATAATTTATCATTTCTAACATCATTTTAACTAAGCATTTATTTTAAAGCTATTGGATGTTTATTACTTGATGCGTACTTTTTTTGGTGTTGACCTGAAATGTTTAATTAATAAAGATGAAAGATGATAAATGATCCTGAACATATTTTACGAAACAAGAAAATTGTTGTAGACGATATTTTGTAAAGTTAAAATGGTCTCAATAATTAGTAGAAACAAAATTTCCGGTAAAAGCGTTCATCAATTACTTTAATTCTCTTTACAGTACATACAATTATGTATGTTTTCAGGTAGAAGATTTTGTTTAATTAATCTTTTAAGTTAGAAAAACAAGGTGCCTTGAAAAAGTACACATTTTCTTCCTATTTCTAACTGAAAATAATTAATCATCGTTAGCAGCATAACAGATCAATGTGTTCTAGTTATCTGTTAATAATGATAAATACAAAAGCCTCATTTCCCTTATATCCTAGTGCAGTGAATGACGACTTGCTGTTTTCTACAAAATTATACAGTGACTTTGTAAAATATGAATATCACACATTAAATACTTTATTTGCACATCTTCCTTCAGTTTTCCTTCATATGCTTTATAATTCTCTCAATTCTCTTGTTATTCCAGTTGCTCTATTTCCCTTCTTATTCTCTTCAACTCAATCTTATACTGATAGCCATTCTGATTCCGATTGCTGTTACATACTATTTATATCTGTCAGCATAATCAGTATGCACTACACTAGTATGTACAATTGTATTTCTCTAACTTACCGATGGTAATACAATTTTTCTACTTAGGGAAAAGACTGTTGAATTTACGTGATGCAATGCATGAGAGAAGGGAAGATGCCAGGTGGAAATTTATATTTTCATCAATCAGAAGCTACAAAGCGATACACTGATTTTCCCAAAACTTATTTACAATAGTATCAATAATTTTGATACAGTTACACATACCACTGATCGATCAATATTTTACTACAGTTTTTTAATTATATTTCAGGAACATGTGTTTGAATAAAATTACAGTTAGTGATTATCTTGCTCTAATTAACTTTGTGTAAGAGATTCTTAATACATGTAAGCCATTGATTAGTAGTGTTTAATACTCTCTTCGTAAAATGCAATACAAGAAATGAATACTAAAAGACACAAAAGTAAATTCATGCCTAACTTACTTCAATGCATGGATTTCTTAGACGATCACAACGATATCCCATAAACTGAGGATGACAAATACATGAATAGTGTAAAGTAAGCCTTATTTGATAACCAAATATATCTTTATTTCTGTAATATTGTGTATAGATACATCGTAAAGTTCCTTTAGGATCACACAATCTATCTTTCCCTTTAATTTTATAAGCCTCTATTGACAATATCTGATCAAGTGTGCAAGGATCCTCTATTTCACATGACCGTGTATCAGAATTCCATGAGTAACCCTTTGTTTGTAGAAGGAGAAATTAAGTTAATTTTATATGATCAAATCGACTGTTCAAATAAGTGCTAAAATTACTTCATAAAAAATGAATATTTAAGACCTAGATAAAGTAGTTATCCATCTTCAAAGTAGTATAAACTTTAAAATTTAAAACGAAATCCCCACTTTAGTAGATTATTTGAAACGTACTGAAACAAATACTAGTGTTTTTTACAGTTCATCCTAATGAGCATGATTACTGTTAACCGCCGACTACTGATTCTATTACGTCAGAGAATCTCTATGCTGTGCGGTTTCAAATATTTTTCTTTCACAATCAAATATTTCTGTCCCTTTTTTGTATAATTATGACCGATGTTCAGTGCTTCCTTATATTTCTTCTTTATCCACAGTAAAACGAACAATATACTGACTGACAGATTCATCTTTAATAAATCCCATGGATAAGATTGATGGATATATTTCCTATCTTTTATAACCAATCAAAAATGAATTTTATGAAAAAATCAATGCACTGGTTCAGTGCTACACTTATGGCTATTTGGTCCATACGTAATGTCTGTTTTAATTATATTTGTAGTGTTTACGTTGATTTGTTTATGATAATATTTTAAAGGTAGTTGATAACTCACTCAATATTAATTTACACGATTAAATAACATCATTTTTATTATTAACTTTATGACGAATAAGACGAAGTGGAAGGCTTTTAGTTGTAGCTCATCTATAAAACTACATAAAATGAGTACTAGCTGAATATAAAAACTTTTTAATTAAACTAAAACAAAAGAGACTAGCACTTATTTTAGACATAAATAATTAAGATAGACACATGTATCTTTGAAATTATGTTTCGTATTGCTAATTATGAAATGAAAAAAAACATTGCAAAAACTCAAACAAAGTTTTCAAGGTACTAGTATTCTTAAAAAATACGTGTAATATCATAACTGTATAACTGTGTGTTTCTATCACGGTATATCTTAATACTCAAGGAGTTTCAATGAATAGTCAAAATGAGAATCAGAGAGATGCATGATTATAAATAAAGTTTGGTTGTTTTTTAAGCAAATATGCAGAATACCACTTTTTTATCAAATTATAATTTGATAGTAGTAATAATAATATATTCTGCAAATAATAATTACAGAATTCATGCCAGCCTACAGGCATGATCAGCTTGATGTAGCTAGTGATAATAGACGTAGAGAATAAATAAATAATATAAGACTGTTTTAAGTTTTCTGGTTCAAAAAGGATCATAGATCGCTGGGAACAGCTAAATAGTTAGCTTGTTCACATATCGGGCAGGATGAAACCGTGAACATCAGGACGACGAGTGAGGTTAAACCCTAGATACTGAATGCTTCACATGTGTCACTGATCCAAATCTGAAAGTTATTGTTTTCAACGTTAGTTATCAAGCAACATCCATATCAAATGCAAGCAGCAAGTAACTATCTTTTTCATAGCTTCATCGAGCCCATATTATACAACGTCTTGTAGTGAGGCATTAGTAGGTATAAAATTATAATCAATGTAGATGATTTTGTGGAGCACCAGCGTTTCATAAAGTTGATTTCAACCACTATTATCTGTTATGTATGAACGACGATACCTGAATTAATGTATTGATTGAGAAATACAAAATATTCCTAATTGGATTGAACTACTCTTTTAGGTGCTAAGGTAATGGTGGTGTTATATCTTTAGATTGAGGTTCACTACGGGCCTAAGGTAATAGATAAGCTAACAGGTCATTGGCTATATGAACTCATTGGCTCGGTATTGTGAAAATAAACGCTTAGATACAATTACATTACGCTGATGAGTTCCAACTGAGATTAAGCACCTGTCATGAAATTCACTGTTAGTCACCAACCAACCTTAATACACCAAATGAATCCTGTTCCGTCTATTAGCCACAATTCATTAATGTACGATTTGGTAAATTTCGTAGAAAAAATTGTCTCAATATCAGAGCTTTCAACTGTAAGCAGAGGTGATGGTGGCTAGCAGTGGAATCCAGGACGCGCGTTTCGTTCTATTTGGGACTTGTCGCGTGGATGTATGTGCATCTTATAATTGATGTTCACTTAGGGAATCGATCCCAGTACCGTTCGCTTCAAACGCTACCACATTATCCACTTATTAATGTTTTTACAATCGTTAACTGGTCGATCTCTTTAGTTAACTACTTTACACTTTTCCAGAGACATGATGAATACTAATTGTGACAGGTACCAACTAACTACTATATCGCTTAATAGTAATAAATACTGAAACAGTGAAATAACATTACAACAACTTACCTTTTCACATAGACATTTGTATTCATGATCGAATACACCTAATCTTATAGGAATACAATCTCCAATACTAGCCGGTATTGACTTCTTTATATTACTAACTGATTTTATAACGTGTGGTTTGCCAGAACATCTTACAGCACCATACGAACATGAATTCGGACATAAGATATGTCTCATTTTATTTTCTGATTTCTTCTGCAGTTCAGACCAAGTGATTGTACAAAAATAATAAATATAAATTACTAAAGGAAAGGGACAAAAAAGAAAGCTCCGAGAATTAAAAACAGCGTATTAGCAGCAAATATGTTTTTATTGGCTTCCCTTAATCATCAGAATATTCTATACACATAATAAAACCAGTAGGTTAATTTTCCAGTCAGTAATCATAACAATGATATGGACGAAAAAGACAATAACATTATTCTCAATCAAACATAATGTATAAGTAATTATATGAATACATAAAGGAGTATTCTAGACAAAACGGATCATTTTACGAATCCAGAGATTCAATGGGAACTGTATTTTGTAAAATAAAATATTGAAGGGAATAGATAACAATTTTACTGTGAACATTGTGTCTGAGATAAAGAAACAAAAGAAGTAGAAAATTGAATGCGTCAAACATTTTTATTGAGATCTTTTCTTTCCGAGAATTATTAATATTAGTATCAGTATTAATATTAGTTCAGTATAATATGGAATTCTCAGTATAAAGTATTTCAGCCGGTCTCCTTTACAAAAACGAAAGCTTAAAACGTCCCTCAGATAAAAAGGGGATTAGTTATCGACCCCTTTAAATTCAGTTAAAGATAATAGTTGACTGGGAACTAGAATCTAAATTGATTGATCATTAAGAGGAGATCACTGTCATGTTCATCTATTCCGTTAGTCCTAATTGAATCCAGTTAATCAAGCTGCAATAAACCGTCTAATCTAGATGACTTTATGATATATACTCAATATTCCGTTGCTAGGTGGTTTGAGATAGTCGATAGGAGACCCTGAACCTATATGCAGTCATGGGGAAACTAATGGTCACTGTTGGACTCGAACCTGGGTCACTTAGTTTCACACTGAGATGTTACCACTAAGCTATTCGGGCGGTAACTGACAAGGCAGTATCATAGAACTAGAGTGAAAAAGTATGAGGAAATTTGAGTATTTATAGCAAGAACTATTGTTATTTCTACCAAAAACTACTTTTCTTCAAAATGGTTAAAATTTAACCAGTGATAAAATTTATATTCAGTGTTTTAAGCCATGGAAAGTAATGGCCATAAATCAATGAGTTATTCATCGAATAGCTTACCCAGTACAATTAGTCTTAAGAGAGGACCGGAAAACTGATAAAACCCAGGAAATTTGCGGATAATAACTTTACCGATAACTCATTAATTATCTTGTCAATGAATCGTTCATTAATAAAGGTTCATATGACTAATAAGCTTCTACTCGATGGCCAGTATAATATTTCACTATTTTATTTTCTATACAAAATGATTTTTATATATTTGAATAAACAAAAGGACGATGAGTTTAATATAGACCAGTCCCAGAAAGTTTACACAAAGCCAATTAAAGTTGACACTTACGACCATATGTTAGTGAGATAAAACTTCAGATTTCAATGAACAACTTATTTATATACAGTAAGAGGTGTAATTTCAATGAACGACTTTTACTAAACAGGATGTTTACGATACTATACGTAGGTATCAGATAAAAAATCACGGATGAAATGTCTTCTGTGGGTCAGGATGATCATTACTTTTTTGAAGACCGTACAAAAAATTTGTTTAGTTTAATGAAATAACTACAAACCATCATGATTAAAAGTTAGAATTATAAACGTTAGGATTGACTGAATCTTTTGTTACTTAAACTGTGATAATAGTAGTAAACAGGTGGCTAATATATCTCAGTGTTTATACATAAACTAAATGAAACCAATTATTCACAAACATTTGAGTTATTAATGTTTGCAGGGCATATACGTAGGCTATTCGCAACCAATCATAAAAAGAAATGAAATATGGGTTAGTTTGTATTCAGAACTGATTAGTGGAAGTTAGAAAAATGTTTCATTCGGATGTATGTCTGATTTAATAAGATGATAGATGTCATCTGTAATAAATGGTCATATTAGCAATACGGTTAGCACGTTGTTGAATGTGAATTGGCGGCCTATTTAAACATCTGAGCTACCTGTTCCCGTCATCTAGATATTTCAACAAGTTATCTAATTTCGTTTGTTTAAATACATCATTATGCCTATTAATCGCACAACCTATTCAGGTGCGTTTTCGGAAAAGTGTAAGACCTTTCGCTGTAAAGGTTACAGAAGGTCTAATCAGAGATATCATAGTTGCTGGCAATATGCAGCGAGAAGAATGTATATTTTCCAGATGTCGATTGACTGGGCTGCTAACTTCTAACCGGCGATCACTCAATATTCATCGCCAAGAAGGATGAAGAAGAAAGAAACGGAAACTTGTTGAAGTTCTTTGTGCTGAGAATTCGATACTGTAACAAAAATATAATATTGAATAAAGCTAATAATAATTATAATAATTATTATTATAAAGTGTTAGAATTCTACTTTTTCCTTGTTGTGTTTGAAGTGTTCGATATCTCGAAAAATTGAAACTACAGAAATGATGTGTAAGGCTAAGTAACGTCAATGCTTTTCACTAAAATATTTACAACAATTCTGGAAACTTCTCAAAGCATTTTTTAATCATTCACTACCTCTGGTAAATTTATAATTCTTGTCTTTACTTTAATGTAACAATAAACCAACTAAAGAGTAATATACGACTTTTAATATTCATCTTACAATTCTTCAGATTTTAAATGTCGCCCGTAATGAAATGGATTAGTGTATGATTGTGTACATTAACTAGTCTCAAACTCAATTACTGTTCTGGTACATTTTGTTATCCACAGAGATTACAAATTTTTCAGAATCTGGCATTTCCAGCCAAGGTCATATGCATTTTCTAAATCCTATCATTGATAAAGTACTACGTAGTATAATTAGTGTCCCCATTTAACTATATACCTCGGGATATACGCTAAGCAATGCAATTCATCAGAAAGCAAAATATAAGTAACAGTAGTTGGTGAAATTGAGAAAAATAGTTGATGGTTGGTAATGACTTCTATCTTATTAGATTTACAGTTACGTGACATAAGCTGAGAGGGGCTGATAAAGTAACCAAAAAAACTAAAACTATATGGAAAGCAAGTTGTGTAACGATCCAACGATATTGGATTAGATAGAGTACGTAGGTCAATAAGCATTCAGATTCTTCTGTCCCTAGTCATGATCATTGATTTACTTGTCAAGAGACAGTCACTGTGTCATTGACCGCAGAGGTTATTGGCTTGATAGGTAATAGTCATATTAGTTAATAAGTTTACTTGATAATAAACTGTTTTCTATAATCAAGCGACGCAATAAAGCGGGACCCAAAACACAATATAAAGAAAATTTTGGATTTACAACAAAATTAGCTACATAAGTTAAAGTAAGAATATGAGGATAGCATCCGTACAGACTGAGATGAATTCAGCCATTTCACCGCTATGAAAATTAGTAAGCACAGTCAATTCAGAAACCCAGTAAATGTTACCATTCATGGCAATATAAGTATCAACAATTGATCAAAGATCAGTGAGTTATATAGAATATCAAATACAATGTCGTTTAAGTGAAATGGATTCGGTAGATATTTTACGGGCACTTCATACGATAGATATGAAATACTTGATGTATCTTGATGATGTATTTGTCGGAATAACCAATACACTAAATGCATAATTAAATGTCTTATATTGTTGTACTGTTGTAAGCATGCAATAAAATGTATTTATGTTTAATTCAAATTTGAATTCTCAGTAGCATATTATCGATGTTTTAGATTAATTGGGGTTAGTGGCCATTCTTTAGACTACTTCAGGTTCACAGTGTTCTAACAAAGCGTCTAAAAAATACTTACTATTAAAACTTCGCTACTTGAGCTCATTGTTATACATTGATAGTCAAAATGAAGAATCGTGCTATTCAGAAATGTAGTTTATGTTATCGAAATATCAGTGTAAATTATTGGTTATTCATAAGTAGTTCGTCCGTTTATAACCTAATCCATATGGCATCTGTGAATTCAAATGTAGCAGATACATAATGCCTTATATTTATTTTAGATGCGTTCGTTATATCAAGTTTGTGTCAAAAAGATGACACGCAATCAAATTATAAACAGTGCTTTAACCTGAAGGTGTAGAATCTTTAAAGTATACGAAACCAAATATTTCAATGCTCCTGATTTCGCCCTTTCGAAACACACAGTTCTCAGGTACTTGCGAATCGGTACATGCATCAAGGAATCACATTCCAGCTGTATTTGTCTACTTTGTATGTTTTAAATATTATCACACAAAATGGAAATAGTTTTGGCTCGAAATTACACTACCCGATGCTGTACGTAACTTATAAAGAAGTTGAGTGTTTTCAGGATCCACCTACATTTAACTTTATGGTTAGTAAGTTCCTGAATAGTAAACATTTCGTTATACTTTCCTCGTTGTTGTTTCCTGAACACTTGAGAAGTGACTACATCGTACTGTGCAGATATACGAAAACTCGTATAAGAATTAGTAAGTGAATCTCTTGACCCATTATCATCAGTGTTATGGATAAGCATTTTAAATCTTACAAACGACTAGCAAGTGAGTATTTCATCAACTACGACACCCTCGTCATTCACAATGTTCACGTTGTACATACTTAAATAGAACAAAGTGAAGGAGACTTAAAATCCATGGACATGAAATGAAATAGAGAAACTCGATAATACTTATTTCGAACAAATATTAGACAAAAGTCTTTTATGAATAACACCAACTAGAAACTTCTTTCATTCTTTGCTCTTAAATTTTATTACTTTAGAATTTTGTTTTCATTCTCATTACCATTATATTGATTTTCAACACATAGCAACTCTCCTACAATCTGTTTCGATTATGTTTAAATTTTGTTTATTAACCTACCTAACAGACAATATTATTCAAACAATCACAACCCGCATATTTCTTTGTACTGTTATGATCACTATCATATCTGTATAAACGTGTACGCTTGATCACATGACAGCCTACACGCATATCTCTATGGCTAAAATGTTATTCGCTTAAATATCGCTCGATGTATCATTCTCTTTACCGCGTTTATATGTACTCGAATCCTATTATTAGCCTATGCCTTGCCTAGCTGCGCCTTATTCGATTTGACTATAAATTTGTCCATGTGTTTAATCGCAAACACATATTCGGCTCCCTGCTTCGAATTCGCTCGATGTGTTTATATCTTTGTGATCGTGCTTTCTGCAAATAAACTGTAGTTGCTGCTTATAATTGCCTTCTGATTCAAAATACAGTTGATATTTATATAATACCGGTTATAAATGTGATTGATTAACAAAGCAAAACCACTACTCACTATCATATCATCTTACCAGATATAATTGAACTTGTATTAATGTATCCGTAAACGTCGAGTGAATTAATGTTTGAAACTAATTCAATGTAATTATCCCAGTCACATAATTGTATTAATGAGTTATTATTGAAATATGCTAAATCTTTTCCACAGTGCAAAAAGAATGCTTTAAGTTTCATGTTTGTTATAGCACTATCGACTCGAATTTCCACCACTTGTGTAGACTTTTTATCCACTTCTTTAGTCCATCTGTTAGGTATTAATTTACTTTTAACATGTTGACTACAATTAATGCTTTTTGATGTATTTTTTAACAAGTTAATTTGTTCATAGGTAAAATGACAGTCAGACGGTATATATAATGCTTGACAATCTACCATAGTCCAATATCGTACTTTCTCTGGCTTACAGCGAATAAATTGCAATTTCACAGTTGCTATTAAACCACCAATTATGTTAACAGGTAAACCATAATCCATATTTACGAAGCCATTATTTTTTAATTTCCATTTTGATAAAAATTCATATTGTGTGATTGCCGATTTATTTGCAGAACTTTTTGTCAGATTACTGTAAAGTACTACTATAAGTAGGATGTAAAATTTGTAAGCGTCCATTATTGTTGGTTAATCCTATACAGTATTTATACCAGAAAGTTAGTCATATGAAATATTTTTATGCAACTGAATGTTTGGAGTTGACAGAAATTTCCTTGTAAATCAGGTATAATAGGACATATTATCCAGAACAAAACAGGACAATGAAAACATTTTATGTATTCTTTTGTTATCTGGTATACAACATTTACATAGAAGTTTCTATAACGCCTCAGTAAGATTTTGTATAGACTTTCAGAGTTAGATTAATAAAATCTGTTCGCTAAAGGAAGCGTCTATAAAACGCTTTCTGATTAGAATGATCCTCTGGACAATTCTATTTGGTAATGCGAAAATGGTTCGTAATATAAAAAGTTCAAATTGTCAGTTCAATATGTAAATCGATATGCTACATAGTCTTGAATATATCTGTCTGTCATATCTTACTGATTATTTAAATAATTTGTCTTTCATTGTGAAATATAGTTTGTTTAATATATTAAACTTAAAAAATTAAATAAATGATATCAAATGAGGTTAAGTGATTCTGAATACCGTTCCCTGACTGTCATTATTTCAAGCAATAATAGATCAATGTAGATATGATTATCTTATAATGTTTAATACTTATGAGATGCCAGATATATATTTCCGAAAAACATATTTATTCTTGAATGAAAAGACATCTGTAAAGTGAAGATAAACTACTTATTTAAGTACAAGTGCATTATAGGTGATAGACAATAATCGAATGTTTTAAATATTCAATTATTTTTTCTCTGTGTAGTTGAATAAGTGTGTATTTATGTCTCCACCCGTTATGGAAGCTGTTTTTGTCAGACATTTCTTAGAAGGACTGAAAAACATGTTATAACTTAAATTTAAAAATCTGAATGTGGAACAGTTCATAGTAACAATTTAGGTCTTCCAGTGGTTATCGTAAAGAAACCTACTTTAAGAAATATACGTTTATCAATGGCGAATGTGAAGTACGTAAATTGGCTGTTATTTTTATTTAAAAGACCATCACTTTCACTATGAGACGTAGAAGTTGTATATTTCATTCCTTCTCGAGTCATCAGTACTACTCCTGACGAGATCTGACAGACAAATTTAATTCCATATGGTATATATATATATATATTCTATTTAAGTATGTACAACGTGAACATTGTGAATGACGAGGGTGTCGTAGTTGATGAAATACTCACTTGCTAGTCGTTTGTAAGATTTAAAATGCTTATCCATAACACTGATGATAATGGGTCAAGAGATTCACTTACTAATTCTTATACGAGTTTTCGTATATCTGCACAGTACGATGTAGTCACTTCTCAAGTGTTCAGGAAACAACAACGAGGAAAGTATAACGAAATGTTTACTATTCAGGAACTTACTAACCATAAAGTTAAATGTAGGTGGATCCTGAAAACACTCAACTTCTTTATAAGTTACGTACAGCATCGGGTAGTGTAATTTCGAGCCAAAACTATTTCCATTTTGTGTGATAATATTTAAAACATACAAAGTAGACAAATACAGCTGGAATGTGATTCCTTGATGCATGTACCGATTCGCAAGTACCTGAGAACTGTGTGTTTTGAAAGGGCGAAATCAGGAGCATTGAAATATTTGGTTTCGTATACTTTAAAGATTCTACACCTTCAGGTTAAAGCACTGTTTATAATTTGGTTGTGTGTCGCCAGTTAGACAATTTTAGTGAGTTATATTGCATTACGCATAGTCAAACAAACTATTCATGTCAATGAAGTTTAGACTGCAGTACTAAGTAATGCAACTGGTTATTTTTGGAAATAAATCTGTTGAAATATATTTCACACCTTACAAAATGTATTGTCCATCGTTGTGTCAGTAACTGATTTTGTAATACATTACTCGCATAATTTTAGCTTTTTTAAACAAACTTTCCCGAAAGCATGTCAAGCTCTAGATTTCATTCCCTGAAACGTCTTTTAAAATGAGTCTGGAATCATCCGTTACTCGATATGTGTATAACACATCATCAAATACTATCTATTCTTGTTTTCCGACTCCTATCTGTAAAGATTAATTTCCTCCATATCTGACTGCAATAAATAATATCTCGTTAAATGAGTATTTACGTAGGCTTAATCTTCTAGTAGTATTGTGGAATTACTCGAGATTATTCAAAAGCTAGAATACCAGATATAGAGATAGTTCATTGTTGAAAATTAGTAAGATCCGCAAGCGTGCAGGAAGCAAGCACACGGGGAAAAGAGTGAGTGTGTGTTAAAAATCTATATATTTATGAGTGTTAATTGGTTGTGGATAAATTATTTATTGTCTGTGTTACAACCAATGGGATAATAGATAAAAGATTGATGTGCAGACACGTGCTCAATCAGATTCACACAATTTTCATAGGGAATGTCTGTTGGGAGATATTAACTCACCGAAGACATTGGTGAAATGGTTGCTCAATTTCGTGGATTGGTTAAAGTTAGACATTAACACAGTCGGATGCCGGCTCAATGGTTTGTCGGTTAAGTGCTCTGGCACGAGACTGGTAGATCCTGGGTTCAAATTTCGCGAGGCGGGATCGTGGCAGCGCACTGCTGAGTAGTTCCACAATAGGACCCGTTTCCAAACACCTTATATTCATTAGTTGCGTTCTCGAATTTATCGAATGACCCTCTGCTTCTTACTTACGCTTTCAACTATTCGAACTCAATCCACCAAAATACACGCCATAACTCATTGCCATTGCATTTATCTTCAGATTCTTTAAATGCAATTAATTCTGGTAATGGTAACTAAAATGACACTTACCTATTCATTAAACACGCCTTTGTTTACTCTACGATAAACTTTTAGTCATTAATCAAGACTTATATATATAAGCCCTACTCATTTTTTCTTTCTTCAGCAACACATTTGTAGCAAACCTCTATGAAGCTTCTACCTATACCTGGACCATGTTCCTATCAAAAGCCGTTACCAAGGTCAGCGTGAACTGAGGACCTTCTCCTTTCCTCTTTATAACATCTATGAACTTCTTTGGTATTTCAATCGATTAAACATGTAATATAATACTATTGGCTTGATTACATCAGGAAGACGAAGGGACATTTGGCTGGATACCATTTTGAGATGCTTATTTGGAATTTAAATCATTTTCTCTTGTCAACAATTTGCGAAACGTCCTCATATCTACCAAGACGTTTCGTACCATTAACGGTGAGGAAACTGATAATCGACATAGAAAAATCTCTTTCTTATCCATAAATTCAAGCTCCGGAGAAAATAATAAGAAAAAGACTTGCATAGTGATTTACAAAATTAGGCACAAACTTGTCTCATATGTTAAGGGTCTGAAGTATGCGGTCATATTTTAATGCCTTCTAGAAAATCCAGTTGGTCGAAAAGTCGATTTGGAAAAGTAATTAAATATTTAGTCTTAACCTTACCTCATGTACTTACGCAGATGGACAGATCTGGAAGATAGCTCACGACTAGTTTTTGCGGGAAAACTGTCACTGCATAGACAAAGGAGTATGGAATAAACTTTAGTGATCAACAGATCACTTAGGCATAAACACCTTTTCTTAAATTACTGTAGGTCCCAAGCCCAGGTAAAGAAGGAGTGTTGGGTATGGGGCTGGCAACCCTATCCCGTAGAAAACAACATTGCTAAAAAACGCTAATCAGATTAAAGAAATTTAACCACTTAAATTCTGCCTTGGGAGTTGAAGGAAAAATTATGACGCCTCAGGACGAAAGCCGAGTTTCTCTGGACGTTACGAGGTTGATCTCACTTTTAACAACCAGAGCAAGCATTATTATAGGTACATAGAATGTCCGTACAATACAATGGACTCAAAGGACCAGTAAAAATGCGACATAAATGAGGAGATACAAATCGGCAGTACTCGGAATCAGCATAACACATTGAACACAAGGTGGATATAAAAGGAAAGATTCAGGAGAAATGCTGCTGTACTCCGATCACGAAGAGAAAAACGCTCCACACACTCAGGGAGTTACTCCGATGCTGTCCAACGGAGCATGAAATGCACTTATTGGGTGGGATATCTTACGAATCCAGAATCATCGAAGCGTCTTCCAAAGCAAGTAAGAAGGGAATCACTATGAGTGTTATCCAATGTTATACACCCACCAATGATAACAACAACGACGGCAAAGATCAGTTTTACTCGAGGCTGCAATCGATCATAGCTAAGTACTCATGAAGGGTCCTCACTGTCCTAATGGGAGATCTAAACGCCAAAGTCGGAATGTGCAACACCGGATATGAAGATATAGTTGGACGACATGGACTGTGAGAGATAAATGGAGATGGGGAGAGATTTGCAAATCTATGGGAATTCAACAAATTGGTTATAGTCGGCACAATATTCCATCACAAAGGCATATACATATCTACATGGATCTCACCAGATCACAGCACAGAGAACCGGATATGTTATATTTGTGTCAGTAAAATATTCCTAAGGACAATGGAAGACATAAAAACAAAGAGGGTAACTGACATAGCTTCACATCACTGCATGGTTGTAGACAAGATGAAACTAAAGCTGAAGAAGCACTGGACAACTGGAGGAACAGCACTACCAAGGCTTAATACAACCCTCCTTCGATATACTGACAAACTCAACGAATTCAAGACAGATCTCAACAACAAGTTACAAGCCTTAAAAGATCTACTGAAAGAAGAGTCTACTATAGAGAATAACTGGAAAAATATCAATGAAGCACTAACTTCAACGTGTCAGGAGGTTCTGGCCCGTAAGAAGCATCATCATAAGAAATGGATTTCTATGAAAACTCTGAACAGCACTCGAGAAACGAAGGACAAGAAGACAGTAATTAACAACAGGTGAACGAGAAGAAAAATGTCAAGGCACAGTCCCAGTATACAGAAGCGAAGAAGTCAGTGAGGATGAGTATAACAACTGACAAGAAGAGAGAGATGGAAGGCCTAACAAGGATAGTGGGAATGGCTGCAATAGAAGGAAATATGAAACAGGCATATGACACAACGAAGAGACTGGTAGGGAAATATGGTAAACCAGAGAAGCTGGTCAAGTACAAAGAAAGCAAGTCAATCACTGAAATTCAAGGACAGAGGAACAGATGGGTAGAATACTTCGGGGAACCCTTTAGTAGACCAGCTTGTTGGATCTATTTTGCAAGTGAAAATCCCTCCATGCATACACTTGTGATTTCTTCCTTACGTTTTCTTTATTTGTACATGCTGTTAACAATTTTATGCTAATTAGGTCTGTGACGTTCAATTTTCTTGGTTTACTATCGTTTTTATTGAGTCTCTATGGTCCTT